TTTTTCTGATGACTCTAGGTCCTCCTGTATACTTAGGCTGTCCTGCATTGTTTGTACTCCTTTTCTTCCGTGCTTTTTTATGCTGCTCATGTTACTTCTTGTTCTGTTTAACTGCTGAGTTACTGTTTACTCTTATAAATTTATTTGATGCTTGGGAGGAAAGATATTAGAAGGGAAGGGAAGAAGTCACTAAAGAGAATGAGAGTAGGCAGGTAGAATTCAAGAAAGGGGGAATAAGAAAATTGAAAAGAAATGAAAAGACAAAAGAGAAAAAATAGAAAATAAAGAAATAAAGAAAAAACTTGTTTTTAAAAAATAATGATAATAAAAAAATTAAAATTTAAAAAAATAATAATAATAAAATTTTAAAAAAATTAAAAACATTTTAAAAAGTTAAAGAACAACAACAACAAATGAAAATGAAAGAAAAAAACCCAAATTAATAAATAATAATAATAATAATAAATGCAGTCATAGAGCTCGATTAACTTCTCTTCCAGTAGGTGGAGCTGTGCCCACTGGGCCAAGCTTCTCTTCTCGATAGGTGGGATCCAATCACTGTGCAGCAGCTCTTCCTCCCAGACTGGGCGGGTCTCCAATCCTGAGTGTCTAGGACCTTCTCTTGTGTTTCCTCAAGCCAGGCCCCGCTCACCTGTGACGCCCACCACAATACTGGCTACACGCCAGGTCTGCTGCTCCTGGGAGCCCTGTTTTCATGAACGCTTGGGCACACTCTCCCTGTTTGCCTCCCTCAGACCCTAAGTTTATAGAACTTGGGGCTGAGAACCCCCAGCGAATTTGCTTGCCCTCCAGTAGCCACATCCCCGGTAGCTGGTGCAAGAGACCTCAGTTGTCAGCACTGATGGGAGCTGTAGCCGGGAGTTCCGTGCTGCAGTCCCGCGCCACTCCTCATTCCCTTGGTCTGGCTATTGAGCTCACGGGAGAGCTGGGAGGGGCCCTTAAGGTTTCCCCGCTGTGTGGAGAGGGATGGCTAGGGGATTACACACCTGTTGCCGCTGATTTCAATGAAGTTATCTCCTCCGCCCGTGACATCAGTTCTCTGCCATGGTGGTATCCCATGCAAATGGTGACTGTTAATTCCCTTTGCCGGGTGACCAATGCAATGGGTGGGTCCTGACTGTCTCTCCCAAGCCCCATTTCAATCCTGTGGCCACTGCCTATGAAGGCTCGGTTGGCTTTTACCTCTGTAAGTTCAGAAGGGCCGACCAGTTATTTCAGCGGGATCGTTAGTGCTGAGTCACGAGAAGCAGGCAAAGCGGAGCTTGAATGCAGCCGATCCAGGCTCCGTATGTGTTCTGAGAGGCCCAAACTATTCGCCCTAGATCCACGTCAGCTCAGCATTGCCTAGTGATCCTGAGCAAACAGCATTTGGACAGTTTACAACTCCCTATGCCTGCGCAGCTGAAGAGGTCAGAGACTTGATCTCTCCGCGCCCACCGCCATGTTCTAATACCTTTATCTTATTTTTAAATTTTTTTTATGTGGTGCTGAGGATTGAACCCATGGCCTCCCATGTGCTAGGTGGGCACTCTACCGCTGAGCCACAACCCCACCCCCCCAAAATCCATTCTTGTACATACGAGTGTCCAGTTTTCCCAGCGCCATTTGTTAAAGAGACTGTCTTTTCTTCAATGTATGTTTCTTGGCACCATTGTCAAGAATGAGATGATCATAGCTCTTTGGGTGTGTTTCTGTGTCTTCTGTCTTACTGATCTATAAGTCTGTTTTTATGCCAGTACCATGTTTTTATGCCAGACCCATTTTTAAGGCTGTTACTTGGAACCAGAAGCATTTCTAGATTATGTGGATAGCTTATGAGAAAGATGAGTAGATACTGTGCCTGCAGGCCAAAAGCTCACCTTCCTCAGGTACTTTCCTGAGGCTAGGCCATCCATGCAGGAACCCAAGGTGGTTCACCTTGCTTTGTAAGTGCTCTTTAAACAGAAGGCAGAGACATAGCCCATCTTATTCCTCTCCTAGTTCCCTATGCTTTCCTTTCTCCTTAGTACTGCAGAGAAGACATTAAACAGGAGTGAGTTTGTTATCATAGTGATGTTGGTGCCCTCTTCTGCTCTTGGCTTTCCTGCCCTTCCACCTTTCGCCATGTTGGACACACCAACAAAGGCCTTGCCAGATTGCCAGCCCCTTGATCTTGGATTTCAGAATAGTAAGAAACAAATGTCTGCTTTTTACCAATTACCCAGAGTGTGGAATTCTATTATATGACACAAAACAGACCAAGACACCCTACCATTGCCCTTCCTCTGCTTCCTGTGTGTCTGAAAATGGCTGTGCCCACATAACATGGATTCTCTTAGATCTGATTGAATTAGATCAATTTCAAAGACAGGCTGGAAAACTCAGTAAGCTCTTTAATAGCTTTCACCAACCTCTGCAATTCTTCTCAGTTTTCTCCACATGTCTCAGAGATAGTTGCCAGAATATATGGGCCCATAAGCACCAATTATATTAGCATTTGCCCAACCAAGATGTTCAGGCCTTTCATCTTTGCTTCCTTGTGACCTGACTTATACTTGGCCCCAAGTCCTTTTTAACACTTGTAACTGTGAACTGTAAAAGCCAATTGCTAAATAAAGTCCTATCAAGTGGAGCACAAAGAAAGATGCAATACATACATACATAAGATGCAATACAAATGTTTGACTAATTTGTGGCCATAATTTCTCCAGGTGGTCTCAGCTCCTCCAGTTTAAGGAGGTGCTGTGTGGTTAAACTTCAGGAACTTGACCATAGACTCTTTTCTAGGAGAGAATTTGCCTCAAGAATATTCTACAATTCCCCATTTTCTTAGTTTATTACTCTGGTTCATCAACCCACTTGGGCCGCTCCCTGGGATTGCTGGCTTTGTTCTACTTGTTTTGAGTAGTTTGTTTCTTTATCACTGTTGCATGGATTGTTATAGATTTTGGACACTGCAGTGTTCTGTTTTTCCTGCTCCCTGAGGGTTGGGCATGACAAAGTTTAGTATCACAAATGTAAAAAGGAGATGGTATGAACCATGTGGGATGATTGTGGACTTTTTTTTTTCCTGGAACATAGAAATGTTGTGTTGAAGGGAATAGAGATCAACAGCACGAAGGAACCAAATGTCTCTGAAGCATTTAACTGAGAATGAGCCTGTCTTCTATAGTAGTGTTTTCCAAATTTGGCACTATATTTGAGTAAATAATGGAAGTGTTTAAAATACCATTGTATAGGCCACATCCAAATCCAATGATATCAGAATGTGTGGAAGTGAGACCTGGGAATCACTATATTTTTTTTTTTAAATCTTCCCAAATTATTTCAACATATAGCCAAATTTGAGAACAAATGTTTCAAAGCTGTGCCTCTCAAACTCTAATCACCTGAATATTTTATGAAACCACTGATTTTGAAAAAATGCACTTTCTGATCCAGTAGGTCTGAAGTGTAGCATTCCTGCCAAGTTCCCTGGAGAAAGGACTGCCCTGGTACCTATGTGCCAGATACCATTCTGGGAACTTTATTTATATTTACTCATTTAATATTTTTTTTGGAATCAGGGATTAAACCCAGAGGCAATCAACCACTGAGCCACATTCCCAGCCTATCTATCTATCTATCTATCTATCTATATATTTATTTATTTATTTAGTGCTAGGGATTGAACTGAGGGGCACTCGACCACTGAGCCACATCCCCAGCCCTATTTTGTATTTTATTTAGAGACAGGGTCTCACTGAGTTGCTTAGGCCTTGCTAAGTTGCTGAGGCTGGCTTTGAACTTGTGGTCCTCTTGTCTCAGCTTCCTGAGCCACTGAGATTACAGGTGTGCACCACTGTGCCCGACTTTATTTTTTTATCTTGAGACAGAGTCTCCGTAAGTTGCTTACGGCCTTGCCAAGTTGCTGAAGCTGGTCTTGAACTTGAGATCCACTCGCACTGTGTCAGCCTCCTGAGCTGCTGGGATTACAGGTGTGTACCACCACACCTGGCAACTAATTTAATCTTAAAAACAACTATGAAAGAATATAATTACTCTCATTTTTAAAAAATGAGAGATTGAAATTGAGTGACTAAATCATTGCCTAAGGTTGGACGGCTAGTACATGAGGAACCTGGATTCATAGACATGACTGATAGCAATGTCATAGGTTAATGGAAATTGTTGGATACTATCAAATGCTAAGCAGAAGTGTCAATATCTGAAATGCTAGACAGTATTTTGTAGGCACAACATTCTTGGGATCAGGAAGGAAAGTACCAGTGTGTCGATTGGTTTTTGCACTGTTGTCTCATGTAGTACATCCAGGCAGACAAAGCCCCTGCAACCATGCGTGCCTTTGCACCCCAGCAATACTCCAGTGTTGTGGCATCAAAGATTTCCTGGATAAGTTGGAGTAGAATGTGAATAAATCTTCATAGGAAAATAGTGCTAGTGGAAGATGTCAAAAATAAAGCATGAGGGGCTGGGGTTTTGGCTCACTGGCAGAGCACTTGCCCGCATGTATGAGGCCCTGAGTTTGATCCTCAGCACCACATAAAAATAAACAAACATAGATAAAAAATTAAAACAAAATAAAGATATTGTATTCATCTATAACTAAAATTTTTTTTTAAAGCATGAACGTAATTTTCAACTACATATCAATGGATCATTGATTCTGGAAGGAGATATTATATTCCCTGCAAGTATTTGGCTTTGCCTCCTTGATTCGAATAGTCTTCCAAATGAAAACATCTATTTAAAATAGGTCTGCTCCTATATGTATGTGTGTTCTTGTACTTGGGATTGAACCCAGAGGTGCTTTACCTTGGAGCTACTCCCCTAGCCCTTTTTATTTCTTTATTTTGAGACAGTATCTCATTACATTGCTGAGGCTAGCCTCTAACTTGTGATTCTCCTGCTTCAGCCTCCTGAGTCACTGGAATTACAGGCATGCGCCACCACGCCTGGCTCTGTGTGTACTTTTTTAAATAATTTTTTTTCTCTTCCAGGAAGCTGAAAAATGAGCTTCTGGAGGCAAAACGTAGAAGTGGGAAGACTCAACAGGAGACCAGCAGAGTCTGTGTTCACTGTCAGAGAAACCTGGGCCTCATTTTTGACCGGGGAGACCCGTGCCAGGCCTGCTCACTGAGGGTGTGCAGTGAATGTCGTGTTGTGGGCCTCAATGGCAGCTGGAAATGCACTGTCTGCGCCAAAGTCGCGTGAGTTTTTTGCCCCCCCCCCTTTTTTTGGGGAAAGAGAAAATTTGATATATTGGAGTGGGGAAAGCAAGAAAGAAAAATAGTGTGTTATAAATTTAGGGATAGAAAGTTAGATAGGGTTCAAGTATAGCCCAGTTACACTTTCAGCAATGCCTTGGCAGGACTCTGGGGTGTTGTGTGTATGTATATGTGTGTGTGTGTGTGTGTGTGTGTGTGTG